GGCCTATGGCCTGGCCCCTGGCCAATCAGTCGGCAGCAGCCATCGTCGACGCCTTTGTCCAAGGCTATGTCATGGACAAAGGTGCCCCGGAGCGGCTGCTGACCGACCAGGGTAGAAATTTTTCCGGAAAACTCCTCCAACAGGTTTGTGAGCTCCTAGGAACGAAAAAGATTCGTACTTCCCCCTATCACCCGCAAACTGACGGGATGGTCGAGCGTCTGCATCGCACCATCTCGTCTATGTTATCACAGCAGGTTTCGGACTCACAGACTGATTGGGACTTGAAAATCCAAGGGGTCTTGGCAGCATACAGATTGGCCCCCCATGCTGCAACGGGATTTTCACCATTCTTCCTCATGTATGGGCGCGACCCTGACCCACCCATTCGGGCGCAGCTGCAGATCCTTACACCACTGGGTAAAACAAAATTAATTGACCATGTCAAATTCAACCTTGAAAAATTGACTGAGGCACGGGATGCTGCCATGCTAAATTCAGAACAGCGTCAAAAAGCAAATGAGCGCCTCAGACTGGGTCGCGCGCACGTGCTGCAGTGGAAGCCGGGGGACAGGGCATGGCTGCACTGCCCCCAGGTACCACTCGCAACATCCCCTAAACTGGCGCGGCCGTGGAGGGGTCCTGTAGAGGTGGTCGAGGTTCTGCGGCCTCAGTGTGTTCGCATCAAATGGGGGAAGCGCCGGTGGTTTGTGCACCCCTCGAGACTAAAACCATTCGTTGCGGTGCGAGGCCCCACTCCACACACGCGTGGCCAAACATGTGGGGGGTCGGCCGACTCAAAGGGTCCGTCCTTGCTGCCCTCGCCTGACGTGTCGCCGGCTGTCCCGCCCACAGGTGCACCGGGATTGACGGGCTCGCACCCACCTACCGCTGCGAGGGATGCCGAGGGTCTCGCGACGTCAAACGCGGACTCAATACGGAATGAACAACTGCCACCGGCCGGTCCGCCATCCGGGGTTGCCCCGTGTGACGGGCCTGCAGCAAGGACGCGCGCAAAAATGCGCAGACTCTTATGATGCATTGGAAGAACACTTAATTCTCTTGTGTACGGTTGCGGGGTGCTGCGTCGGTGGGGAGCTCCTGCCACATTTTTGTTGTGTTGCATGTGTGCTAGGGGTTCCCTGCTAAACCTGTATATACGTCGCTCTTACGGAATTCGTATTTATTCAGGGGGGGTGCGTCGGATTGTTCCCTTCGGGGTTTGTGGGTTTTGTTGTTGTTGTTGTTGTTGTTGTTCCCTTCATGTTATCGTTAAAAACGTTTTTTTTGAGGCACACGCGGGGATCCAGGGGTTAATTAACCTTTATTGAAGTTGTTGCAGCCGGGACGGCTGCGAGCTGTACAGGGGGGGGTGATGTAGGGCTGTTTGTGTAGGGCTGTTTGCATAGGAGGTAACGGATAACAAACACAGTGGGCGGGGACTTCGTGAGTACACGGGGTGGTGCCCGCAACGACGTCCGCACCGGACGGCGTGAGGGGGGTTTCGATCCTCTAGGGGGGTACAAAAAGGGATGAGCCAGAGAGCTCGGGGTTGAGTCTTGGAGTAATTAAGGGAAGACGGAAGACCGGCCAGATAGGCCCTGGACTCCCCCTGGGACGCCGCCCTTGTAAGGGCAGCGCAGGCTGGAGCCAGTGGCGTGGTCCCGGAACCAGAGTTAGTCCTCTGGGACTCCGGGTACCGTAGCCCGACTGACCAGTGTCGGGCCAGACAGCCTCCCCTAGCCCGTTAGTGGAGGACTCGGGTAGGAAGGCTAGCTAGAGGTGTATTCCCAGTTATACGGGTGAGGGGGCCGATACACCCCTCCAGTGCTGTACGACATTGTGTAAATAAATACGTGTGCCTTACTACGGTGTCCAAGCGTCTTCAAGAGTACTTCACTACTATACACTACACTACTATACACTACACACTACTATACACTACACTACTATACACTACACTATACACTACACTACTATACACTGCACTTTACACTACACTACTACTATACACTACACTACTATACACTACACACTACTATACACTACGCACTACTGTACACTACACTACTATACACTACACTACTATACACTACACACTACTATACACTACACACTACTGTACACTACGCACTACTATACACTACACTACTATACACTACGCACTACTATACACTACACTACTATACACTACACTACTATACACTACACTACTATACACTACGCACTACTATACACTACACTACTATACACTACACTACTATACACTACACACTACTATACACTACACACTACTATACACTACACACTACTATACACTACACTACTATACACTACACTACTATACACTACACACTACTATACACTACGCACTACTGTACACTACACACTACTGTACACTACGCACTACTATACACTACACTACTATACACTACACTACTATACACTACACACTACTACACACACTACACTACTATACACTACACTACTATACACTACACACTACTATACACTACACTACTATACACTACACTACTATACACTACACACTACTATACACTACACTACTATACACTACACTACTATACACTACACACTACTATACACTACACTACTATACACTACACTACTATACACTACACTACTATACACTACACACTACTATACACTACACACTACTATACACTACACTACTATACACTACACTATTATACACTACACTACTATACACTACACTACTATACACTACACTACTATACACTACACACTACTATACACTACACTACTATACACTACGCACTACTATACACTACACTACTATACACTACACACTACTATACACTACTATACACTACACACTACTATACACTACACTACTATACACTACACTACTATACACTACACTACTATACACTATACACTACTATACACTACGCACTACTATACACTACACTACTATACACTACACACTACTATACACTACGCACTACTATACACTACACTACTATACACTACACACTACTACACACACTACACTACTATACACTACACTACTATACACTACACACTACTACACACACTACACTACTATACACTACACTACTATACACTACACGCTACTATACACTACACTACTATACACTACACTACTATACACTACACACTACTATACACTACACTACTATACACTACACTACTATACACTACACTACTATACACTACACACTACTATACACTACACACTACTATACACTACACTACTATACACTACACTACTATACACTACACACTACTATACACTACACTACTATACACTACTATACACTACACACTACTATACACTACACTACTATACACTACACACTACTATACACTACACTACTATACACTACACTACTATACACTACACTACTATACACTACACACTACTATACACTACACACTACTATACACTACACTACTATACACTACACTGCTGTACACTACACACTACTATACACTATACACTACTATACACTACGCTACTATACACTACACACTACTATACACTACACTACACACTACTATACACTACTATACACTACACACTACTATACACTACACACTACTATACACTACTATACACTACACACTACTATACACTAGTAGTGTCTAGTGTAGAGTAGTGTGTAGTGTATAGTAGTGTGTAGTGTATAGTAGTGTACACTACACTACTATACACTACACACTACTATACACTACACTACTATACACTACACTACTATACACTACACACTACTATACACTACACACTACTATATACTACTATACACTACTATACACTACTATACACTACACTACGATACACTACACACTACTATACACTACACTATACACTACACTACTATACACTACACACTACTATACACTACGCACTACTATACACTAGTAGTGCGTAGTGTAGAGTAGTGCATAGTGTAGAGTAGTGCGTAGTGTAGAGTAGTGCCTCTATAGAGACCAACCATTCCCCTGTTCGGGACGGGCTGCTGTCGGCAACAGTCAATATTCATTGATGCATCGACGAAGCACGTTTCTCGTAACATCGTGTGTCGATAATGTTGTCGGTAATAATATCCATTGCGTAAATATTAGATCAACCCTGATGTTGATGTCTCCACCCTGCGTGTATATCTCCCTTTGTAGCGATGCGTCAACCTTGACCACCTCCTGTCCCTCTCTCCCACCCACCCGTCTGCCTGTCCGTCTACCTGTCCGTCCGTCTGCCTGTCCGTCCGTCTGCCTGTCCGTCCGTCCGTCTAGTCCCGCACAGCCGATAGAAAATCTGGCCCAGACTTCACCGCAGCTCCCGTCTTCGCCCTTCTCCTCGATGGATCCCGGAGAATCCAGAGAGGTCCCACCTCCTCACCACCACCACCACCCTCCGTCACCGTCGTCACCGCCGTCGTCACCGCCGTCGTCGCCGCCGCCGTCCGAAGGGACCGCTGCTCCGGCCGCTGCTCGTCTCGGCAAGAAGAGCCGCTTCCAGGTCACCAGCGTGGTGGTGGCGCTGCGGCCTGCGTCGTGCGCCAGCGTCGCGGGGGTGGCGGCCGCGTCGCCGCGGGGGGCCGAGGGGGAGGGTGGCGCCACGACGGAGCAGCAGCAGGAGGAGGAGAGGAAGACGGGGCACGGTGGAGAGTCGCGGACGCCGGATCTTCGGCAGCTGCAGCAGTCGCGGCAGCTGCAGCAACAGAATCAGCAGCAGCAGCAGCAGCACAGTCATCTGGACAACAACCAGCACCACCACCAGCAGCAGCAGCACAGTCATCTGGACAACAACCACCACCACCAGCAGCAGCAGCACAGTCATCTGGACAACAACCAGCAGCAGCAGCAGCAGCACAGTCATCTGGACAACAACCAGCAACAGCAGCAGCAGCACAGTCATTTGGACAACAACCAGCAGCAGCACAGTCATCTGGACAACAACCAGCAGCAGCAGCAGCAGCACAGTCATTTGGACAACAACCAGCAGCAGCACAGTCATCTGGACAACAACAACAACAACCACCACCAGCAGCAGCAGCAGCAGTGGACCGCGGAACCTTCGCTCGCACAACCACCGCGGCCATCGGCAGCGTTTACAAATGCTGCTGCTGCTGCAACAACAACAATGACGACCGTCGACGTTGCTGCTGCTGCAACAACAACAACAGCAACAACGACGACCGTCGCTGCCGCCGCTGCTTCGGCCTCCGCTTCGGCCGCTGCTCCTGCTTCGACCGACCCGGCTCCTCGTCCGCCTGCTGCGGCCGCCGGCGCCTGCTGCGCCACAGCGCCGTCGCCACGTCCCACCACCGACGCCGTCTCGTCCGCCGCCACCGCCGTGGAAGCGTGCGGCGGCGGCGGCGGCGGCGGCGACGGGCGCAGAAGTTCCGTCGGTTGCGTGCAACTCGCGCCGGCGACAACACCGGCGGCACGGGGAGACGTCCGGCCGCGCGCGGATCGCCGCGACGGTTGCTGGCAACCGGCCGCCGCCGCGCCGGCGGTCGCCATGGCTACGGTCGCCAGGGCGACGGTCGCCACGGCGATGGCGCAGAACCCGTCGCGGTTCCGTGTGGTTATCATCCCGTACCGGCGGGGACGCTGGACCTGCTCGGACTTTTATGAAAGGGATCCGTCCGTGTACCACCACTATCAGCACCAGCACCACCACCACCTCCTGCACCATCAGAATCACCAGCAGCAGCAGCAGCATCATCACGGCGCCGTGGCCAATCACATCAGCGTCATCGACTGCGACGTCGCTGCCTTCCGCCGCCTGTCTCTGCCCACCGAGACAGAGACATCGCTGGCGCAGCAGGAGCAGCAGCTGGCGCAGCAGCAGCAGCAGCAGGAGCAGCAGCAGCAGCAGCAGGAGCAGCAGCAGCAGGAGCAGCAGCAGCAGCAGGAGCAGCTGCAGCAGCAGGAGCAGCAGCAGCAGCAGAGTGACGGACAGGTGTACGGGTTGAGTCAGAGTCTGTCTTTGGACGGGGAAGATGAGAGGTGAGGAGGGGTTAAGCGGTTGTTGTGTCTTTGTGTGTGTGTCTGTGTGTGTGTGTGTCTGTGTGTGTGTGTCTTTGTGTGTGTGTCTGTGTGTGTGTGTCTGTGTGTGTGTCTGTGTGTGTGTCTTTGTGTGTGTCTGTGTGTGTGTGTCTGTGTGTGTGTATGCCTGTATGTGTGTGTGTCTGTGTGTGTGTCTGTGTGTGTGTGAATGTATGTGTGTCTGTGTGTGTGTGTGTCTGTGTGTGTGTGTCTGTGTGTGTGTCTGTGTGTGTGTGTCTGTGTGTGTGTCTGTGTGTGTGTCTTTGTGTGTGTGTCTGTGTGTGTGTGTCTGTGTGTGTCTGTGTGTGTGTCTTTGTGTGTGTGTCTGTGTGTGTGTCTGTGTGTGGCTGTGTGTGTGTGTCTGTGTCTGTGTGTGTGTCTTTGTGTGTGTGTCTGTGTGTGTGTGTGTCTGTGTGTGTGTGTCTGTGTGTGTGTCTGTGTTTGTGTCTGTGTGTGTCTGTGTGTGTTTGTGTGTCTGTGTGTGTGTGTCTGTGTGTGTGTGTGTCTGTGTGTGTGTCTGTGTGTGTGTGTCTGTGTTTGTGTGTGTGTCTGTGTGAATGTGTGTCTGTGTGTGTGTCTGTGTGTGTGTGAATGTGTTTCTGTGTGTGAGTGTTTGTGTGCGTGTCTGTGTGCTACCAACCCGGTGACCCAAGTTCAATTCCCGCTCACGGCCAACACCAGTGACGATTATCCAAACCCGGTCCTGGGCCTCCCCTAGGTCGACTCAGGCTCAAATGAGTACCTGGTGAGATGTACAAATATCGCCATGAGGGAGACAAAGGCGGCCGGGCGTGGTGCTGGCCACCCACCCCCTCATTGTGCCATTCCTGCCTTCATAGGTGCTCGCTAACAGCACTTGCCTCAACAGTATGCTAAGGCTATACGGGGGATCTTTGTGTGTGAGAGTGGGTGTACATACATGTGTGTGTGTGTCGTCTAAAGTGTGTGGCATTCCGCATGATTGTAAGGATGCCCTGGTGGTCCCCCTCTTTAAGAAGGGGGACCGCACAGACTATAACAACTACAGGGGCAGCTGACTCCAGGAAAGGTCCTGGCAAGGATGATTCAACGTCGCCTTGCCAGGCACGCTGAGGAGAGGCTTGCGGAGCCCCAATGCGTACCCGGCTGGGTACGGGTACCCGTTTGCGACCCTGGTGCGGCCGGGTACGGGTACGGGTAGGCCGTGAGTCACTGGTGAGTCACCGTTTGTCACTCATTTCCCAACGTCTTGTCTCTTCTCACAATTCAAGTTCCTAGAATCAACCCACCCGCGCCTGCAACATGGCTTCATCCCAGAGGTCGCAATCAGGTACCCGATACCCGTACCCAACCCGTACCCGGCCGGGTACGGGTAGGGTACGGGTACGGCCGGGTACGGATACGGGTAGCCGTTTGCTAACCCTGGTGCGGCCGGGTACGGGTAAGGAATCAAAACCCGTTTGCGACCTCTGACTGAGATTGAGGCCTGGGTTCGAGCCCCCGGTGTAGCCTGTAAGAGACTGTGTACCAGGCGAGGTAGTTAACATCTCCTAGGCACTGTGGTTGAGAGGGGGGGGGGGGGGGGCGGCTGTGTCTGTGTGTGTGGTGTCCCGTGCAGTGCCTCTGGTGTCAGCGTGGTGGCCATCGACAAAAAGATTGAGCAGGCGATGGTGAGGAGCACTCACGGCACAGCCACTCCAGCCACGCCGGCAACACCAAACTACCGCAGCACGAGCCGCACCAACCACACTCGCCACACTCACCACACTAGCGACACTCACCACACTCACCACACTCACCACACTCGCAACACTCACCACACTCACCACACTCACCACACTCGCAACACTCACCACACTCACCACACTAGCGACATTCACCACACTCACCACACTCACCACACTAGCGACATTCACCACACTCACCACACTCACCACACTAGCAACATTCACCACACTCACCACACTCACCACACTAGCGACATTCACCACACTCACCACACTCACCACACTAGCAACATTCACCACACTCACCACACTCACCACACTAGCAACACTCACCACACTCACCACACTCACCACACTCACCACACTAGCGACATTCACCACACTCACCACACTCACCACACTCACCACACTAGCAACATTCACCACACTCACCACACTCACCACACTCGCCACACTCACCACACTCACCACACTCGCCACACTCACCACACTAGCGACATTCACCACGCTCACCACACTAGCAACATTCACCACACTCACCACACTCACCACACTAGCAACATTCACCACACTCACCACACTCACCACACTCACCACACTAGCAACATTCACCACACTCACCACACTCACCACACTAGCGACATTCACCACACTCACCACACTCACCACACTAGCAAAATTCACCACACTCACCACACTCACCACACTCACCACGCTAGCGACATTCACCACACTCACCACACTCACCACACTCACCACACTCACCACACTAGCAACATTCACCACACTCACCACACTCACCACACTCACCACACTAGCAACATTCACCACACTCACCACACTCACCACACTAGCAACATTCACCACACTCACCACACTCACCACACTCACCACACTCACCGCACTAACCATACACAACACACTAGCAACATTCACCACACTCACCACACTCACCACACTAGCAACATTCACCACACTCACCACACTCACCACACTAGCGACATTCACCACACTCACCACACTCACCACACTAGCAACATTCACCACACTCACCACACTCACCACACTAGCAACATTCACCACACTAACCACACTCACCAACTCACCACACTCACCGCACTAACCATACACAACACACTAGCAACATTCACCACACTCACCACACTCACCACACTAGCAACATTCACCACACTCACCACACTCACCACACTAGCGGCATTCACCACACTCACCACACTCACCACACTAGCGACATTCACCACACTCACCACACTAGCAACACTCACCACACTAGCAACATTCACCACACTCACCACACTCACCACACTAGCGACATTCACCACACTCACCACACTCACCACACTAGCGACATTCACCACACTCACCACACTCACCACACTAGCAACATTCACCACACTCACCACACTCACCACACTCGCAACATTCACCACACTAACCACACTCGCAACATTCACCACATTCACCACACTCACCACACTCACCACACTAGCAACATTCACCACACTCACCACACTAGCAACATTCACCACACTCACCACACTCACCACACTAGCAACATTCACCACACTCACCACACTAGCAACATTCACCACACTCACCACACTCACCACACTCACCACACTAGCAACATTCACCACACTCACCACACTCACCACACTAGCGACATTCACCACACTCACCACACTCACCACACTCACCACACTAGCAACACTCACCACACTAGCAACATTCACCACACTCACCACACTCACCACACTAGCGACATTCACCACACTCACCACACTCACCACACTAGCGACATTCACCACACTCACCACACTAGCAACATTCACCACACTCACCACACTCACCACGCTCACCGCACTAGCAACATTCACCACACTCACCACACTCACCACACTCACCACACTAGCAACATTCACCACACTCACCACACTCACCACACTAGCAACATTCACCACACTCACCACACTCACCACACTCACCACACTAGCAACATTCACCACACTCACCACACTCACCACTCTAGCAACATTCACCACACTCACCACACTCACCACACTAGCAACATTCACCACACTCACCACACTCACCACACTAGCGACATTCACCACACTAGCGACATTCACCACACTCACCACACTCACCACACTCACCACACTCGCCACACTCACCACACTCACCACACTCGCCACACTCACCACACTAGCAACACTCACCACACTCACCACACTCACCACACTAGCAACATTCACCACACTCACCACACTCACCACACTAGCAACATTCACCACACTCACCACACTAGCAACATTCACCACATTCACCACACTAGCAACATTCACCACACTCACCACACTAGCAACACTCACCACACTCACCACAGTAGCGACATTCACCACACTCACCACACTCACCACACTCACCACACTCACCACACTAGCGACATTCACCACACTCACCACACTCACCACACTAGCGACATTCACCACACTCACCACACTCACCACGCTAGCGACATTCACCACACTCACCACACTCACCACACTAGCGACATTCACCACACTCACCACACTCACCACGCTCACCGCACTAGCAACATTCACCACACTCACCACACTCACCACACTCACCACACTAGCAACATTCACCACACTCACCACACTAGCAACATTCACCACACTCACCACACTCACCACACTAGCAACATTCACCACACTCACCACACTCACCACACTAGCGTCATTCACCACACTCACCACACTCACCACGCTAGCAACATTCACCACACTCACCACACTCACCACACTCACCACACTAGCAACATTCACCACACTCACCACACTCACCACACTCACCACACTCACCACACTAGCGACATTCACCACACTCACCACACTCACCACACTAGCGACATTCACCACACTCACCACACTCACCACGCTAGCGACATTCACCACACTCACCACACTCACCACACTAGCGACATTCACCACACTCACCACACTCACCACGCTCACCGCACTAGCAACATTCACCACACTCACCACACTCACCACACTCACCACACTAGCAACATTCACCACACTCACCACACTAGCAACATTCACCACACTCACCACACTCACCACACTAGCAACATTCACCACACTCACCACACTAGCGACATTCACCACACTCACCACACTCACCACGCTAGCAACATTCACCACACTCACCACACTCACCACACTCACCACACTAGCAACATTCACCACACTCACCACACTCACCACACTAGCAACATTCACCACACTCACCACACTCACCACACTCACCACACTAGCAACATTCACCACACTCACCACACTCACCACACTCGCAACATTCACCACGCTCACCACACTCACCACACTAGCAACATTCACCACACTCACCACACTCACCACGCTAGCAACATTCACCACACTCACCACACTCACCACACTAGCAACATTCACCACACTCACCACACTCACCACACTCGCAACATTCACCACACTCACCACACTCATCACGCTAGCAACAATCACCACACTCACCACACTCACCACACTCACCACACTAGCAACATTCACCACACTCACCACACTCACCACACTAGCAACATTCACCACACTCACCACACTCACCACACTCACCACACTCACCGCACTAGCAACATTGACCACACTCACCACACTCACCACACTAGCAACATTCACCACACTCACCACACTCACCACACTAGCAACATTCACCACACTCACCACACTAGCAACATTCACCACACTCACCACACTCACCACACTCACCACACTCACCACACTAGCAACATTCACCACACTCACCACACTCACCACACTAGCGGCATTCACCACACTCACCACACTCACCACACTCACCACACTAGCGACATTCACCACACTCACCACACTAGCAACACTCACCACACTAGCAACATTCACCACACTCACCACACTCACCACACTAGCGACATTCACCACACTCACCACACTCACCACACTAGCGACATTCACCACACTCACCACACTCACCACACTAGCAACATTCACCACACTCACCACACTCACCACACTCACCACACTAGCAACATTCACCACACTCACCACACTCACCACACTCACCACACTCACCACACTAGCGACATTCACCACACTCACCACACTCACCACACTAGCGACATTCACCACACTCACCACACTCACCACGCTAGCGACATTCACCACACTCACCACACTCACCACACTAGCGACATTCACCACACTCACCACACTCACCACGCTCACCGCACTAGCAACATTCACCACACTCACCACACTCACCACACTCACCACACTAGCAACATTCACCACACTCACCACACTAGCAACATTCACCACACTCACCACACTCACCACACTAGCAACATTCACCACACTCACCACACTAGCGACATTCACCACACTCACCACACTCACCACGCTAGCAACATTCACCACACTCACCACACTCACCACACTCACCACACTAGCAACATTCACCACACTCACCACACTCACCACACTAGCAACATTCACCACACTCACCACACTCACCACACTCACCACACTAGCAACATTCACCACACTCACCACACTCACCACACTCGCAACATTCACCACGCTCACCACACTCACCACACTAGCAACATTCACCACACTCACCACACTCACCACACTCGCAACATTCACCACACTCACCACACTCACCACGCTAGCAACATTCACCACACTCACCACACTCACCACACTAGCAACATTCACCACACTCACCACACTCACCACACTCGCAACATTCACCACACTCACCACACTCATCACGCTAGCAACATTCACCACACTCACCACACTCACCACACTCACCACACTAGCAACATTCACCAC